CAGCCCTGTGGTGCTGTTCTTAGATGCTGGAGCAAAGGCCAGGTCGAGTGGGTTCTTGCACTCGGCCCTGGTCGGAGTTTTGGTTTTGGACCAGTTTTAGCAAATGGATAAATAATGCTATAACGTCCCCAAGGCAGCAGTGATAGAACAAATGGGTGAGGATTCGAATTTTCTTGATCTGTTTAGAGCGAACCCACAAGTGTGCCCCTTTCGCCACTTTCCTGTTTACGATCGCTTTGGCCTTTGGCAATTGCCATAGGAGCAAACCCTTCATAGTTGAAGTGATTGGTGGTGTAATTGAAAAAATTAATGCTTTATCGGATGACATTCTTTTTCTGACCAGAACTCATTGCTGCTGTAATGAACACCATAATGTGTTACATTTGGTTGAATTTACCCCAAGAATACAATTTGCAAGAAAAGAGTGTTTTTGGAAATCCTGCAGGTTAGACATTGCTTAATGAAGAAGGTGTAACCGAATGAAACCAACAACCCAATAGTTACTATCTCCAAAACCCACTTAACCATAAAGCATTCAACATTCTATTACTATTCATTTATTTAAACCAGCAGCTTCATCTTCCAACTTCCACCATCCAAAGGAGCGTCCACGTGGCTACAGGTTTCTGAATTAAATGTGACGAATTATATTCTTGAGAAACAATAAGTAAGGAATATTATAGGAAACGCTGGAGGATAAATAAAGCAATATTCAAGGAACAGGAGACATTAATAGCCTAATTAGAAAAGGTGGTAAAGAACAAAACGTATCTTGTTACTTCCACTAAAAAACAGATGTAATAAAACAATAAAAAAAGAGAAGCTGATGATTCAATGAATATTTTCGTTAAATGTGCGGACCTAATTTAGCTTAATGGATCATAGAGCGAGTGCACATCGAGGCATTATAAATTGGACAAAAATATGAATTCTATGTTTTTAATGCGATAAATGAAATGAATTTTGGACATTGTAAAGGAATTTACAAAATAAAAGTCTACGGATTATAATGCCATTGTATGTCAATAGTAAAGAACACTATGAAGTTTTACTGTCAAACCCCTCACACATATATTTATCAACCATTCTTAACAGTATTTTCCACATAAAATGAAGATAGATATAAAAGGAGATGACATTTGTTTTCGAACTACAAACCAGTTTCTTTCTTCCTCAATTTTTCTTAGATTTTAGAAAAGATATTGTAAAAGAAAATACAATGTTACTAGTGAGAACCAGCATGGATTTGAACATGATCAACTACACTGGCTATAATGGAACTGTTAAAAAATGTCTTCATCAATAGACAGCAAAGAGTACACTGTGGGGGGTATTTATCGAGGGGCCTCAAAAAAGCTTTCGTACAATCAGACCACAAGCATATTAATGAGTAAGCTGGAAAACTACGGTGTTAGAGTTAGATACTCCTGGCTGAAGGCGTATCCTGGACACACAATCACAGTATGTAAATGTTAACACTGAAATTCAGAGCTTTCAAAAGCCCTACCCCAAGCGGTCAGGATCCTTGGACCCAAACTTTTCATTCTTTATCTAAATGATATTTGCGAGCATCAGATGACTAATTTTTATTTTGGCTGGACCTACTGTTTGTTCACATAAAGACTTGAATGATCTTTTGGTATAGTCGGAAAGTGGTTGATGTGAACAACTGTCATTGAATTTAAGTAAGACAAATTCATAGTAATTGGAAATAAAAAATCACAATGAGGTTAAACTCAGATAACAAAGTAGAAAAGAGAGAAGTGTATGAAAACAAATCTCCTGGGTGTAATTTTAACCATTAAATTTAAACTGAAAACCTATATAAACTATATTAAATTAATATCAATTATTGCATACTTATATACTTATATATATAAAACTAAGGATAACTTGACCATAAATCATATTAATATTTCTATTCCTCATCATTCTCCGTTACCATTAATCGTTAGATGAGTATGGGAAATACTTAAAAACTTATACAAATTGATTTTTGTTGCAGAAAGAAGCCATTAAGACTGGTTAACAGGTTGAATATACACCCACCAATATGTTATTCGTGCACTCTCAAAAAGGTTGAAGTTTACGTTTGGTACTTTAAAACATTACAGTTAAGTTGTATAGACACATTGTAACACTTAGACTGTATCCAAGGGCTATTCACCAAGCAGGAAAGTACTTATTTCACTGAGGGGAGAATTTTATTTTTGAAAGAAATGGGGCAAAGACTATATGAAAAGTAGAGTGTTGTCAGTTATTATATTAAATTATTTAAAACAAACATTGAAATTACATGTAAGAAGTGAATGGTGGATTGTGAATTTTTGAATCCAGTATCTGATATTTATGTTTGTTTTATGAGAACTAAATTGTTCATTATTTTAGTAGTTTCGTCAATTTTAAGTCAGCTGTAATTGACGTAAGTTTGTTTGGATGAAATTAAATTTATTTTTAAAAAAGGATAGAAAAATAAAAGCTTAGGCTCAGTCTACCTCTTTTTCAGTAAAGAAAATAAATAAAAAGAGAATAAAGAGAGAATAATTAATTTGCAAGAGAAACACTATAGGATGAGGAAAGAATGAGGATATACTCGATTGTTTTGTTTATATTCTTTGTCTTTTTTTTCCTTATCTTGTTTTGTTTGTTGGGTACTTGGTTGCATGAACTTGTTTAGAAATTATTCAGGAAATTATAGTGAATTCTTTAAATGAGTCGGAAAAAAATAACTTTACCCCCCATACTACTACACCATGAACTAATTTGAGGTTAATCCTGGAGAGAGACCTCAATTGTCCGATGAAGAAGATACATGGAAAACAAATTGTGGCTTGATACTGTAAATATATAAGGAATAAGAGGTAAATCCTCAAATATAAAATTTAACACGGTATTCTGACACCATGTAGGCTTTTCAAAGTAGATATAAGTACCAACACATGATGGAATTGCCAAGACAGAGATTGGCACATTCATACATCTCAAATCATGTTTAGCAGCTTTGATGAGCGAACCTTTTATACATACGACCAGCAGGAATATCACATATGGTCTAAAGTTGAACTTCCTACCTCTTCAGTGGATAAAAACACAAAATTCAATTATCAATGCCAGCATTATTTGTGAAGTTGTATGTATGAGAAATAAAGGAAGGTTTGCAGTTCAAAAGGCGTGTTGTGCCTATTCATCATCTTGACAGGCCGAGAGAGGGACACGGACTCGCTCGCTCAGGCCCTAAGCCTCACATTCATCAGCTATCCTATCTCAGTGGTTTGGATTCAATGTTGGGTTAAGCCACCAAAATTCATTTCAATGAGCATTTGATTTGGTGACTTGTGTTACTTGAATCAGCACTGGATTACATAACATGTAAAATCATGTATTCTTACAATTGTAATACTAAGAAGTCTTAGCAGTCCTTCAAAAGTCTCACAAGAAGCTTTGAGAACTGAAGGCTTTGACCGAACCAAAAAGCGGAAGGGTGCAGGGTGTTGCATATTCAACTGGGGTGCAGGGTCTTAAAATATTTATCTTTTGAGATAGATGTACACAATAATGATTATCTCATTCATATTCTGTTGATTAATAAAAAAAAGTAAAATGTTTTCTCTTCTTGTCACTACAGTGTGCTGTTGAAATGCTGGTCTGTGCAGAGTTACCTTAGAAGGATGTTTTACACATTCATTCTGCTGAAGTGGAAAAGTTTCTCTGTGGCTCATTGAAAAGCTGATTCTAAGGGGCGGGCCTACAAAGCAGAATTTGTGACATCACAAACATTCCTGTCCAGTAGCCCCCCCAAAACCCCTTTGTAAGTGTGATGTAGAAACCTTGAAGCCACAGTGCACATCACTGAGAAATGGACTTTACAATGAATAGGAGACATCTTGTGTCCAGCAGCAAAACTTTAGAAATCAACAACATTTGCATTTTCAGAGAGTCTGGAGGTTTTAATGAGGTGGAAGGAGAGCAAATGTGTTAGTAAACAGTTACCTGGTTACACAGCCAGCATGCACAGAAACATTAGTATTCATTTTGTAGGCGTGGGCAATAAACACTTAATCAATAACAATGAGAAAACTGTTCAATAGAATATTGATAGGTTCACTTCAGTCACAGCCTACATCTGATACATCTCAAGAAACAATCCACACGCTGTCCACAATGAAGAGGTAATCAATAACAATACATTAAAAATATTACCCATGTGCCATGAGACATAAAGTGGTTACATCCAACTATTTCTACCTGGTCTTTATTAAAAATAGGCCAAATATTATCCAAGATATATTATTATTTACATTATATCAACAATTATCGATATAGACTGACTTGAAACCTTTATTCGTGATACATTTTTCACCAATAGACAAGCCCTAGACCATCAGTATGTTTCCTTTTAAAGTCATAATCATTGGGATTTCCTTTCCTAAATCCACAACTAATTAATACATTTTAACAATCCATGTTTACCGTGTGTGTTCTATGTGTGTGATTGCCCATATAACACTACTCCAGCAAAAATGTCTCCCCGCACCCCCTTCTAACACACACAAACACACACAGATATACTCTCTTTTTCTTCTATTTGGCAGCCATGGCATCAACCATTTGCCTCAGAACTTTAATCACTAAATCAGCACAGTGGGTTGTTATCAGATTATGGGATTATCCAGTCCACACTGAGAAATCAAACAG